CTACCAGGAAAGTAATGTGTCTCTGATAAATAGAAGTGCACATGGATGCTGCATGTGAAAGCAAAAGAAGGAGCATTAGCTATGAGCTTTAATGTTGTTTCCTCTCTGGGTGCAGATAAATAATAACAAGAACCACTAAATTTAACAAAGGTCATCTGGCCTTTTTTTCCCCAAAGCTGACTGTGACTAGTGAGGCCATAGTGGATAGATTTACAGCACATATTTTACTTTCTACATGTCTTCATTTTTCTCTTTTCTCCCTGTCCCCCAACCTTGCTGAATGTAGGTGTCTACTGCAGCATCTAACCTCTTGTTTGCAAGAAGGGTGAGCCTGATGGCAAAGCTGCTGTGAGACTAAATTCATAAGCATTACTCCATCAAAGAGCAGCACACCATAATATCTTCTCCTTCTAGTAACACGTTTTCATTTATTTTTACACTTATCTTAGCCTCTGCTAGACATGCCTCAAGGGACTAAAATTTGGTGATGAATTCTGGTATTTTCATTTGTTATATACTCTGTTGCAGTTAACACTCTAAGATAGTTAAGCATACCACTTTTCACAGAATCTTTAGAAGGTATTTTCTTTAGAAGAAAATAATCTAAGTGTTTTACAGGATTTTGGCATACTGTGAATGCCCGTGAGTAAATTTAGCTTTATTTAGTAAGTATTTTAACTTACTGATACTATGTATCAGTAAGCCTAAGCAAACATACCCAACTGCAAAGATCCATCTAGTATATCTTTCTATCAACGCAGATAGCTGCTCTGTCAGCCTTTGCATAAGTTTATTGTTTTCCTTGCATGCTTCTGGCACAAGTGATTGCTAAGACCTGCATTGCACAGGCAGTTAACTGAAACATAAAGCCAATGTGCCTTCTCACGGTCTACATGGGAAGTTTGTAGGAGGACAGCAAATTTTACTTCTATCCATCCCCTCCATTCCCACGCTAATGTATTAAGGCATAAGCCAATTTCTTTACTAGCACAGTGTTCTCCTATCTGGCAGCTGCTGAGGTAATGCTAAAAGAAGAGTCTCTAGGTTCTATGAATCTCATTTTTGGTGAGGTGAACTACTTCTCCAAAAACAAATGTAAGGTGTATGTTCTGGGATGACTGACTTACAGGAATCAATCTTACGAGAAAAAAAAAAGTTTCACTTTATGGAAACCTTGGTTAAAAACCTTATAAGGTTTATAAAGGTTTATAAGGTTTATATATAGCTTTTTATATATATAGTTTATATATATATATATGAAACTGCAAAAATAATAAAATAATGCAGGATTTCCAGCACAGAGCGACAAAGATGATGAAAGGACTGCAGCATCTATCGTATGAGGAAAGACTAAGCGAGCTGGGCCTGTTTAGCCTAGACAAGAGAAGATCGAGAGGAGATCTGATCAACATGTACAACTACCTGAGGGGCGAATGTAGGGAGGATGGGGCCAAACTCTTCTCCATGGTGGCCAGCAACAGGACAAGGGGTAATGGCTACAAGCTGAAACACAGGAAGTTCCACCTCCATGTGAGGAAGAGCTTCTTTCCTGTGAGGGTGACAGAGCCCTGGAACAGGCTGCCCAGAGAGGCTGTGGAGTCTCCTTCTCTGGATGCCACCCTGTGCCACATGCTCTGGGTGTCCCTGCTGGAGCTGGGGAGATTGGACTAGATGATCTCCAGAGGTCCCTTCCAACCCTAAACATTATGTGATCCTGTGATTCTGTGATTTCTAGGGAAATTTGGTGTCAAGTATTTCTAGTAACGTGGGAAGTCTTGTGTGCAGTCTGCTGTCATTAATTAATTTGATCTTACAAAATCAGTTCTAATTAGCTGATGTCTTTCCTTTATGAACATATATGAAGAAGCTTCATACTGTAAATGCACACCCACTTCTTTACCTAAAGTTAGCACTTGGGGTAGGCAGCTGGGGAGATTGGACTAGATGATCTCCAGAGGTCCCTTCCAACCCTAAACATTATGTGATCCTGTGATTCTGTGATTTCTAGGGAAGTTTGGTGTCAAGTATTTCTAGTAACTTGGGAAGTCTTGTGTGGAGTCCTTTATGAACATATATGAAGAAGCTTCATGCTGTAAAGGCACACCCACTTCTTTACCTAAAGTTAGCACTTGGGGTAGGCAGGTATTTTGAAGGGCAGGGAAGACATTTGATCTGGTTGAGCTTACTCTCTATTTCTTACAAGCTGCAGAAAGGAAGGCACCGGTTTAGGGACTTGGACACAAAATTGCAATCAAAATACAGTACTAAATAAGCTACAGCATAGATTTAAGGCACTGGAATGGGAATCAGGGGACCGGCTTTCATTTCTAGATTCTGCTGTGCACTTTGTGCACGATACTGTGCAGATCTCTTAACAGCTCAGTGCTTTATTTGCCCATCTGTAAAGCCAGAACATAAAGTCCATTAAAATTTTAGGTATAGGGGAGTTTTGTTTGGAGTTTATGATTCTTCGCAGAAAAGAGAAGGGTGGGAAAGCTAACGTCTCATCAATGTTATGAAGGGGCTGACGGCCAAATGTCTTCAATGAGGATTCCTTCTTCTGTAATCCCCTCCCTTGGTCCATGGAGGAGTCTCACTTTGAGGGGACACTGAACAACAAATCTATTTTTGACAGCTTTTGCAGAAGGGCAGGTCAGAGGGATGTTGCTGGTTGACCTCTAGGTTAATGTTTGGGAGTTAGGAGAGCACTCTTCCTAACAGTAAAAAAATGGATATTTTCCACCCTGCTGTCTGTAAAAAATACTTTGCACTGTAAGGCAGTCATAGTTTTAAATAATAAGAAAGACAGACTATCTTACAAGCTCTCTCTGCTTCTTTGTATCTCTATAAAAGCTTTTAAAAGCACAGCTTTTTGTCTGCAGGAAACAACTATTATTAATGAAGCAGCTTGATTTTTTTTAAAATAGGATATTTTGAAGCCATTTGCTCTGCTAATTATTAACAGGAATGCTGATGATATATCTACACTGTTTTGGGATGCTGGAGGTTCTCTAAAATTCTCTTAAAAGCATTTTAGAACAATAAACCACATCTGGAGTGTGAACTGAAATTAGAAAATATTATACACAGAAACCAGCTGCAAAAATTACTAGCTCACATTTCTCCCCAGCATTTTTGCCTGGAAATATATCTGATGCAATGTGAGAAGCATTGCTTTTCAATAACATCATCATTTTGCTGATGTCAGTTGCTATTAAAGTACCCTATTAAGTAGTAATTATTGCAATAAATAAACACATATCAGGAATAATTGCAATGTAGAGATCATACTGAAGATACCTCAAGGAAGGTAATTCTCTTTCATGGATTATTTCAATACTTGGCTTTATTCTCTTTTGTAAAGTTCTGCGCGCGCGCGCACACACACACACACACACACACACAAAGAACAGATTTCCAGGCCCAGGCAAGTGTTTCTTGGGCACTGCTGTAAAATTACAGAGCATGGCAACCCCAAGTCCTCAAATCTGCAGCACTCTGTCGCTTGAACACAGGGAGACAGGTGAGCCCAGAGGAGGCAAGGGAGGTGACTTTTTAAAGCCAGCGTAGCTCCTAAAATAACTTGATGATATCAAACTCTTTCCAGAAAATAACTTAATTTTTAGAGATCAGCAAGTTCTCACCAGAAACTATGGTGTTGGTATGTTTTCAAAAATCTCTAGCAGGTTTCCGTCATATGTCTTGACATAGAAAAATGAAAAATTATTTGGAAGAGTTGGTGAAGAGCAGAACAAAAATTGACAGACAGAAAAAAAAATAGAATAATCAAAAGCAAAATGAAGGGGGAAGCAATGCCTAAAAATATCTGAAGTAATGGCTCTGATGTCCTTTCATGGTAGTATCCTCTGCTTCAGATGTTCTTCTCCCCTTGTGATTACCTCTTATCTCACTGTCAAACAGGTATTCTCTGTAGCTTTTCCTCACTTCCCCTCTTACTGACTCATACCAGACTGCTTTCTACAGTGCTGTGTAGTCTTTCCTTCCTGCGTATTCATTCTTTCTCTCAGCATTTCCCTTCTCCTATTACCACAGGAGCCTTCATCATCATCATCTATATTTCCCTGCAAACATTTTCACAATTCCATGTTGAACTCTTCTCCTTTTCACTTGGGACACCCTTTCAAACAGGTTCACAGAACCACAGGCTTCACCTCTAGACCTTACCTACAGCCCCAACTTTACCATCATAGAAGATGGCAAGGGCAAGGCACATGGTAAAGATTGTTGGCATTTCCTTTTAAAGGCAAATCGGAAGTACTCAATAATTGAATTATTCACACAGGGTCTTAGGTCAGGAGGCCTCTGGACAGTTTCCTGTGATTCTGTCAACAAAGATATTGTTTAGGATAAGGTTTACTTTGGTGCCACGGCCCTGTGCTAAGGGCTCTCCTTTCTTCCACTCTTCCAAAAACAAAACTTAAATGCAATTGTGTCAACATGTTTTTCATGCTTTCTATATATTTTCTTTAATGCTTACTGAGTGACCTCTTGGAGTCAGTTAATACCAGGACATTTCACCCATGAAATGTTTTGCAATTCAATTTATTAAATGCAAGTAACCACAAATAATTATAAATCAATTACTGAGTCTATTCTACACTTCACCAACCCAAAAAATCATAACAAAGTACTTTTGAAGGTGATTGAGCAAAATGAACAGTTTCCATAAGGCAAGGCATTTGTGCTTCAATTTATCTTTTCCCTCATAATAACACTATTTGAAATACATTTTGCTAAATATGGGAACTACTCTTGTAGAAGAAATCAATTATATTCTTAAATTTAAATCTTTTTTTTTCCCTTCCAGTTATGCTCTAATGTATCACTGTACCTCAGAAATATACCCTAGGGAAAATGCTTCTATTCTTCACTAAAAATCCATGAATAACATTATGTAGAAATTAATTTATGATAAATGATTTAAAATCTTAACCTAGAATGGCTTCTTATTCAAATGTCACCAGAAAATGGCACCTCACCCGCAGAAAGGAGTCAAGGGATCCGTTCTCCATGTATTCAACTACAATCATTACTGGTCTGCCTGCAAAACAGCAAAGAAACACAGGATTATAGACATACTATGGGGTTGTTATGTTTCCAACTGTTATGCACAGATTATTCACATTATTTAAATATTTTGCCTATTTTCAAAATCCTCATTTATATCACAAACATACTTTTCTGTGATATTCTCTAAGCAGTACTTTTTTTTAGTGTTACTAGATTACCTGAATGCATACAATTGATTCTGCCCTTTTCGAAAAAGGATCAAAAAGGAGTTTTTTAGATCCAAACAGCTTCATTCATAGTACCTTCCATTAGGAACAGTTGGGTCTAAACGTCTATTGAATACATCTTACAACAAATTTTGGAATGTATTTGAGGTAGGGCAAAAAAAAACAACCATGAGCCATCTCAATATATTACAAACTCAGTGCTATAATTTTCCCTTCCAGAGGAAAAAAAGCATAATGATTTAATGCCAGAGATAGATATATAGAGAGATAAAAAGACAGATATTCATAAAAAATTGAGATTGAGAGACAGAGCTTCAATAAAAATCTAGATTGTATTTATGTTTGTATTGGCATATATTAATTCAATCCAGCAAAATTCTGAATTCACATATATGTATTTAGAACACAAAAATCCCATTCCAATCAAATTCCATCTTGGAATTAAATCCAAATTAATATATTTTAGAAGCAGTAAAACAGGCAATATTTATCTCTGGAAAGACTGTCCAAATCAGAAGGTAATTAGTAGCATTTCACTTTTCATAACCAGGAATAAACTACCTGTATAGGACTGCTTGACAGGAGAGGCCCCCTTAGCATGCTAATCATGCTGTGTAGCAAGAGCTTGTTTTAGAATTGTTAATATTACTAAAGAGTTATAATGATATATGCAAAACTAATGTAATGAATAAGTATGTTAATAAGATTGGGAAGGTGGTGGAAATTCTTAAAATGACAAAGCTTTCTTTCCCTTAGAATGTCTTTCTCTTAAGGGGATTGTTTGAACTAGGAACTGTGCTAACTGGTGAAACCACACAGCTGCCCATTTCATTTTCTTGAAACAACTGTTCCAATTTTATTCAAAAATCCAAAGAAGCTGATTTCATTACTTTTTTCCTCTGCTTCTCAAATTATTGTTCTGTTTCCTTTAGACAGGGCGATGAGAAAAAAAAAAGGCAATATAAAAAGGCGAGAAAGTGCAGAAGAGCTTTGTGGCATTTCCAGTACAATTTTCTGCTCCATTTTTCTACATGCTCACATTTTGTTCTTTTTGAATAATAGTGGCAGTGTTTAGGAAACACTCTACCCTATAAATTAAGCAATAGCCACACATTTCTTTGAGCTGTTACAGCTGACCTTGAATTTTAAAAACTGAATGAGTAGTTTCACTGTTCCTTCCCAACATATCATAGAATCATAGAATGCTTAGGGTTGGAAGGGACCTCTAGAGATCATCTAGTCCAACCCCCCTGCACACGGAGGGTCACCTAGAGCACGTGGCACAGGACTGCGTCCAAGCGGGTTTTGAAGATCTCCAGAGAAGGAGACTCCACAACCTCTCTGGGCAGCCTGTTCCAGGGCTCTGTCACCCTCACTGTTAAGAAATTTTTCCTTAAGTTCCTGTGGAACTTTTGGTGCTTCAGTTTGTGGCCATTATCTCTCGTTCTGTCAGTGGCCACCACTGAAAAGAGACCAGCACCATCCTCCTCACTCCCTCCCTTGAGGTACTTATAGACACTGATCAGGTCTCCTCTCAGCCTTCTCTTCTCCAGGCTGAACAGGCCCAGC